AGGGAGGGGGAGGGGAGAGAGGCGAGGTGGAGGGAGGGAGGAGCCAGGAGCGAGAGAGAGAGAGAGAGGAGAGGGAGGATGAAGATAACATCTGGGAATGATATCATTGAAAATGTATGTTGAGAGGAAACTACATAAAGATTCCCTGTCACATTTATCAATCATAATTTGTGTATTGAAGCTTGCACAGCTGTAACGTTTTTTAAAATAAAAGTATGCTGCCAAACTTGGATATAAACCACATAGAATTGGCAACTCCCCTCCCAACTCAGGGATGCATCTTTAGAGTTCACAGAGACATCTGTGTGTTTACTATACCTGTTTGTCACTAAGGTAGTGCATGCCAGTTGCCACGTCGACGGCGAACTGCAGCAGTTGTTGTGAGGTGAGGGTGGAGGCGGTGCCATGCTCCTTGGCGAAGGCGGGGTCTGTCTCCAGGACTCGGCTCTTCCGCAGAAAGTCAAGCAGGTTACCATAGGGGGCATACTCAATGGCAATGTACAGGTACCCTACACAGGTAGAGAGAGGCAGTTAGGGGAAAGGAAAGGAAAGTGATGGAAGTTTATGATTTACTTGTACACTTTATGGAGAAGGTTGCTAAGGGAGATACCATATGCATAAAAGTTTGCCATGGAAAGGTAGGAAGGCATTAACTGAGTATCATAATGTAACCATAGAAATATAATTATAGTTCTGTGCTGTAATCATCATTATTGTATCGAGAGAGAGAGAGAGAACCAACATTAACCAGCAATTCTGGTTCTCTCTCTCCGGGCTACTTGAGAACCAGTGGGATTGTGAAACATGGTGGTTTGGTAGGATGTATTCTTCTCATGGTTGAGTTGTTTTTGTAATCTCCCTCTAAAGTACAAAGAGAAACAGCCAATTCAATTATGTCCCGAAACCATCGGATGTGGTATGGAAATTGAAATGTCATGCTCAGAGCTTGGTCCTAAGGCTCTGTATTACACACACAGATATGCAGCAGCAGAACAGTTTGCTGATGTGGCATATGGACAAGCAAAACAAATGTGATCGTGCAAATGCTTCTAGCAGACAGACAGGGTTTGTTTGGGTTGGACGACACATAGTCCTGTCCAGGTGCACATCAGAGGATCTATATGCATCCGGATAACTCAGGATATTAACCACTTCATGCCCTGCATGTTGGGCTCAGGCAGCTAAGCAGTATGGAATCAGTAATGAAGAAATACAAAGTGAAGTGTAACTAACTTTCATTTTAAAATCTTAAAATCACTATCAACATACTATAGTGAACATAAAAGAATACAGACTTATTTCTAGCAACTTGCTTCAAAACTCATATTTAAAAAAGTATTCACTTGAAGAGGGAAGTATTAGTATATTATGTCCAGTAATATTATTATAGTGTCAATTAAAAGCATGTAATTCCCCACCCTGACCAGTAGGTTGCAGACTCACCCCTGTTTTCACAGGCTCCTATGAGGTTGATGATGTTGGGATGCTGGCCCAGTTTACACAACACCTCAAGCTCTCCTGCAAAGTCCCGGTGGTCATTCTCAGAGGCAAACTCTGCTCAAAACGAAACACAGTAAACATAGCAAATTACAAACAGGTACAGAGAAAGAAGCTTGTTCAGTTTGGCTTGTTGTCAGAGTTTGTAGTGTGTGTGTCTGTGTGTGTCTGTTTTGGTGTGTGTGTCTGCGTGTGTTTGTGTGATACCTACTACCTTTCAGCATCTTGATAGCGGCGCTCATCTTGACCCCATCCTTCTTGATCATGGCCTTGATGACCTGGCCGAAGTTGCCTTCTCCAATGACTTCCTCGAACTTGATGTCATCCCACTCCAGGATAGGGTAGGTGAGAGGCTCGGCGGCAGGCTTAGGTCTTCTCGTCAGGGTCAGGGTCCCAGAGTTAAACTGAAGGATGGTCTCCTCTCCCTACGGGTTGCAATGATTGATTTGATTTGTTTTTAATCAATCAAAGTATAGAAATTGTATATATAGAGATGTTTCTAATAATTTGTCGCTATGTATATGTATAATATAGCTTGAAAAGTGGATATATACCCTGAGTGTACAAAACATTAAGAACACCTGCTCTTTCCATGACATATAGTATAATGACCAAGTGAATCCAGGTGAAAGCTATGATCCCATATTGATGTCAATGGTTAAATCCACTTCAATCAGTGTAGATGAAGGGGAGGAGACAGGTTAAATAATTATTTTTAAGCCTTGAGACAATTGAGACATGGATTGTGTATGTGTGCCATTCAGAGGGTGAATGGGCAAGACAAAATATTTAAGTGCCTTTGAACGGGGTATAATAATAATAATAATATGCCATTTAGCAGACGCTTTTATCCAAAGCGACTTACAGTCATGCGTGCATACATTTTTGTGTATGGGTGGTCCCGGGGATCGAACCCACTACCTTGGCGTTACAAGCGCCGTGCTCTACCAGCTGAGCTACAGAGGACCACATGGTAGTAGGTGTCAGGCACGCTGGTTTGAGTGTGTCAAGACTGCAACACTGCTGGGTTTTCACACTCAACAGTATCCTGTACGTATCAAGAATGGTCCACCACCCAAAGGACATCCAGCCAACTAGACAACTGTGGGAAGCATTGGAGTCAACATGGGCCAGCATCCCTGTGGAATGCTTTTGACACTTTGTAGAATCTATACCCCGACGAATTGAGGCTGTTCTGAGGGCAAGAGGGGGTGCAACTCAATATTAGGAAGGTGTTCTTAATGTTTGGTATGCTCAGTGTGTATTTAGTGAACTAGTTAATGACTATGGTATGCCGTGTGTCTCTCTCTCACTCTGTCTCTCACCGATCCAGACTGGTAGGGGAAGCTGCGTCTGCGGTTGAGCAGGGTCTTGCGGATGCAGAAGAGGGCCAGCAGGGCCAGCAGGATGGTGACACAGGTGACCGTCACAGACCCCACTACCGCCATCACCAGCTGGTAGCCCTCGCTGCCTGGACGCCCCCCCACACCCTGGGTGGTTGGAGTGAAGTCCTGGAAGCCTGAGAGGGGAGGAGGAGATGAGGAAGTGTGCAGTGAGAATCACCTGAGCATCTCCTATTTCTTATATACAATAGGCTAAGTATCCTTAGTATTTTAAAGTGTTCACTGAAAAATCTATGTTCTCTCAAAAAGTTCACTCAAAGTTTGTTGGACATTTCCAGAACTCAAAAAAGTGGTCTAATGTCAAGATGAGTCCATGTCCCAAACCATCTGTTGTTTAGATCCAGCTTTATACCTCAATCCCACATGAGTGGGAAAGATAGGCATCTAATGTGATGAAATGACAGTGAGGGAAAAAAGTATTTGATCCCCTGCTGATTTTGTACGTTTGCCCACTGACAAAGAAATGATCAGTCTATAATTTTAATGGTAGGTTTATTTGAACAGTGAGAGACAGAATAACAACAAAAAAATCCAGAAAAACGCATGTCAAAAATGTTATACATTGATTTGCATTTTAATGAGGGAAATAAGTATTTGACCCCCTCTCAATCAGAAAGATTTCTGGCTCCCAGGTGTCTTTTATACAGGTAACGAGCTGAGATTAGGAGCACACTTTTAAAGGGAGTGCTCCTAATCTCAGTTTGTTACCTGTATAAAAGACACCTGTCCACAGAAGCAATCAATCAATCAGATTCCAAACTCTCCACCATGGCCAAGACCAAAGAGCTCTCCAAGGATGTCAGGGACAAGATTGTAGACCTACACAAGGCTGGAATGGGCTACAAGACCATCGCCAAGCAGCTTGGTGAGAAGGTGACAACAGTTGGTGCGATTATTCGCAAATGGAAGAAACACAAAATAACTGTCAATCTCCCTTGGCCTGGGGCTCCATGCAAGATCTCACCTCGTGGAGTTGCAATGATCATGAGAACGGTGAGGAATCAGCTCAGAACTACACGGGAGGATCTTGTCAATGATCTCAAGGCAGCTGGGACCATAGTCACCAAGAAAGGTCCCCCTGTTCAAGAAAGCACATATACAGGCCCGTCTGAAGTTTGCCAATGAACATCTGAATGATTCAGAGGAGACCTGGGGAAAGTGTTGTGGTCAGATGAGACCAAAATCGAGCTCTTTGCCATCAACTCAACTCGCCGTGTTTGGAGGAGGAGGAATGCTGCCTATGACCCCAAGAACACCATCCCCACCATCAAAACATTATGCTTTGGGGGTGTTTTATTGCTAAGGGGACAGGACAACTTCACTACATCAAAGGGACAATGGACGGGGCCATGTACCGTCAAATCTTGGGTGAGAACCTCCTTCCCTCAGCCAGGGCATTGAAAATGGGTCGTGGATGGGTATTCCAGCATGACAATGACCCAAAACACACGGCCAAGGCAACAAAGGAGTGGCTCAAGAAGAAGCACATTAAGGTCCTGGAGTGGCCTAGCCAGTCTCCAGACCTTAATCCCATAGAAAATATGTGGAGGGAGCTGAAGGTTCGAGTTGCCAAACGTCAGGCTCGAAACCTTAATGACTTGGAGAAGATCTGCAAAGAGGAGTGGGACAAAGTCCCTCCTGAGATGTGTGCAAACCTGGTGGCCAACTACAAGAGACGTCTGACCTCTGTGATTGCCAACAAGGGTTTTTGCCACAAAGTACTGTCATGTTTTGCAGAGGGGTCAAATACTTATTTCCCTCATTAAAAATGCAAATCAATTTATAACATTTTTGACATGCGTTTTTCTGGATTTTGTTGTTGTTATTCTGTCTCACACTGTTCCAATAAACCTACCATTAAAATTATAGACTGATCATGTCTTTGTCAGTGGGCAAACGTACAAAATCAGCAGGGGATCAAATACTTTTTTTCCCTCACTGTAGATGGTGGTACCCTCTCTTTGTTATTAATTTGGGATTACAAAACAGCTTGATCTAACTCCACACATGTTTTTTTAAACCATCTCTCACCATCTCCCTGGGTCCTGGCATGGACAAACTTGCTCCACTCCCCCGGTACTTTAGAGAAGGCTCTCACTCTGAACTGGTAGAGAGTACTCCCGTTAAGCGCCGTCACGTCTTTAGCCGTCTTGTTGCCATCGTCAGTGTCTACCCAGGGATGCAGGCTGCCCTGACCCACCGGCTGGTACTCTATGATGTACTTCACTATGCCCCCGTTAGGGTCCTCAGGGGGCTGCCACTTCACCTGCACCGCAGACACAGACAGGGGCAGGGCCAGGACGTTACGAGGTGAGGAGGGACCTGATGGAGAGGGGAGAGGGGAGGGGGAGGGAACAGAGAGGATAAATCAGGGTTAGTATTGGTCAGAAGGTGTTAGCTTATGCTACATGGCTATTGCCCAATGCTGCACAATGCTTTAATCTTTCTTGATTTCCTTAGTCATCCATCCTGATTTCCTTTCTTTAACCCTGACACACTACGAGGGCAGGGGGGAGGCAGGCACCATCCCATACACCATACATCCACCAATCACACTCGTCAACACTCACTGCTAAACCAATAGAAGGAGCTTTTGTTAGTTACCCTGGCTGTTGATGCGGAAGTGGTAAGGCTTAGAGGCGGGCCCCAGACTGCCACAGTTGAGCAGCCTGACAACCACTGTATAGTCTTGGTGGTACTGCAGGTTGTAGAACTTGGTGGAGAGCACATTGAGCAGGGTGGTCTCCTCTCTCAACTTCTCTCCTGAGGGGGAGGGCCTGAAGAGCTGCACTAAGAACCCGCTGGCCGCACCCACGGCCCCGCCCGCGTTGCCAGGCAACAGCCAGCGTACGGTGGCGTTGCGGCCCTCCAGCGAGCTGAAGTCAATCTCTGGTCGAACCGTTGGCTCTACAGCAGCGACACAGAACACGCAGTCAGAGAGAGGTCCGCCAGCCTGGGATACTTACTCATTCTGTTTACTTAGACACAGCCTCTCGCTTACAGATGGGCAAAGAACATTCTGATCTGGTCACTCATAGACCTTAGAATTAAAGAACCATTCTCACACAGATTCAGAACCAGCACTCAGCTGTCCACTAGGACAAACTTCTACTAACTTCAACTCACACACACACATACACACACATACACACACACACACACATACACACACACATACACACACACACACTCCCCCTCTGCAGCATCACCAATTCCCTACAAACCTCTGCTCTGACTTACGACACTGCAAAAACTAAAATGGGCGCTATGTTGTTTCTCACCTGGACAGTCAGTCTCCATGATGGCCTCAGGCCCCAGAGTCCCCTCCCCTCCCTCCCCAGGGCGGGTCAGCTGGACACGGACGTGGTAGCGTGTAGATGGCTTCAGATTCATCAGAGTTATAGGCTCTCTACTGTACACTGAAGAACAGGAACACAGAGAGAGAGAATCAGAGACGATTATCAATGTAGCATAGGGATCAAAATGTTTCCTATGGATAATAATGTATTTTGCCACTTGCCAAGATAAGTAGTTGTAACTCCCATGACTTGACATGAGATCAAACTCCATCTGACGTACCTATGATGGAGGACCAGGAGTCTCCGGTCTCCATGGGCTTGTAGAGGAGCTTGGTGGAGTCGATGGGTCCGTCTCCTCTGTAGGAGTCCACAGGCATCACCACCAGCTGCTTACTCCTCTTCTCCAGCAGCTTGGGAGGGGTGCTGGGGCAAGGCGGCTCTGGTGAGAGAGTGGGTGGGGGTGAGGAAGTGGGTGAGATGGGTGATATGGGTGATATGACGAGTCTCAACCAGAACATTAAAACCTTTTTATCTACCCTTTTTCTCACTGTGTATTTAGGGCAGGTTTCCCAGACTCAAATCAAGTCCTGCACTAAAAAGCATGTTCAAGTCCAGGACTAGGCTTCACCTGTGTCTGGGAAACCTGCCCTCAATGTTAAGCACCTCACATTGACTGATCTAGACCAGTAAAATACTTTTCTCTTCTCACCTTTGACAGTGAGGTTGAACTTGCGGGAGTCTTGTCCCCCATTGGTGGAGACCCTGCACTCCCATAACCCAGCATGCTCAATGGATAGACGGGGGATGTCAAACTGGGCTGTGCTCTTATTGGAGTCCATGGTGGTGCGAGACGCCTGAGAGAGAGAAGTACAAATAGATATTGGTAAGGCTGTATGTTGAGCCAACTGACATTATCATAAAAAATATTGATATATTTTCACTAAAACAAAAACACAGAATTTCACAAATCCCAATGACTACACTGTCACAGTTTGATTCCCAGTAATGGAATAATCCAATATAAAATGACCACCCTGGCCATCCCTCCATTGCCTTGAGCACAGAACTGTCCAGTTTGCGCAGCTCGATGCTGGTGTGGCTAGGCAGGGGGTTGCCTGTGGCGGAACACAGGATCTTGGGGCTGGAGTTGAGGTTCCACTCCAGACTACTGGCCATGTCCAAGATCTGGGGGGCGCGGTCTGATGGGGGAGAAACAGATTAAGATGCTTGGTAGAGGCAGCAGTGGTGAGGATGAGGAGGTAATGTTTACCTACCTGATTTCTCACAGTTCTGTCCTCTCCAGCCAGTGGGACACTGACATCCACTGAAGCGGTTACACACTCCCCCGTTCTTACACCTACAGCTCAGCCTGCAGTCTGCCCCGTACATGTCCCTGTGACAGGCTGGGGGAGGGAAGACATTAGGATGGGAATGCCAAGGGGTTGGGATTCTAATAAGTGTTTCATGAATTGCTACCTGATCTGGCTATGCATGTTTTTATTTTTTATTTATTTAACTAGGCAAGTCAGTTAAGAACAAATTCTTATTTACAATGATGGCCTGCCCCGGCCAAACCCGGACCAATTGTGCGCCGCCCTATGGGACTTCCAATCACGGCCGGATTGTGATACAGCCTGGAATCGAACCAGGGTCTGTAGTGACGTCTCTAGCACTGAGATGCAGTGCCTTAGAACGCTGTGCCACTCGGGAGTAACTACTTTAACACATGCAATAATGTTGATAGGTTGGTTGTACAGTACAATCAATATTTATTGGGCAATCCAGGGCTGAAAATACGTCATAACCCTATTTATAACAAATGAACTCACATCTGTTGCAGTGGTTCCCAGACCATCCGCTGGCACAGGAGCATCCATAAGGATCAGCCAGGCAGAACCTCAGCCCTACACAGTCCAGCTCTGACCTGCACCACTCCTGGCAGTTACGACCAAACATGCCCTCTCTGCAGGCTGGGAGGGAATACATTACAAGTCGTAGATTTAGTACAGGACAGGTACAGTTACTTCAGACAGTTTGTCAATAGAATATACTTGTATTTTACACACACCACGCACGCACTTATATGCACTTATGCACACACACACACACACGCAAACACACACAATTGCTCATTTGTAGTATGTGTCAGCTTCAAGGCCACAATCTTATGCTTTAACATATTGCCTGTCCCCCCACCCCCACCCTACACACACACACACACACACACACACACACACACACACACACACACACACACTCACCTGTCTCGCAGCGCATCCCCATGAACCCCGGTGGACAGATGCAGTCCCCGTCACTGTCATGACACACCCCTCCATTGAGACACTCTGGACAGTCCTTGTCACAGTCGGCTCCCCACTTCTTACTGGCACAGTCTGGGACCGACAGCAGAGCAGCATCAGTGGCGAGCCCACGCAAATACAAACACCTCATCCATATGTGAATCATCATACATATCCTTGTAATGGTTAACAGTAAGAGAGATGCTGCTGGAAGAGGTGTTGGAGGGCCTGTAGGAGGCACTCTTTCCCCAGGGCAGTGATTGGGGACATTGCCCTGTGTAGGTTGCCGTCTTTTGGATGGGACGTTAAATGGGTGTCCTGACTCTCTGTGGTCACTAAAGATCCCATGGCACTTATCGTAAGAGTAGGGGTGTTAACCCCGGTGTCCTGGCTAAATTCCCAATTTGGCCCTCATACCATCATGGCCACCTAATAATATGCCATTTAGCAGACGCTTTTATCCAAAGCGACTTACAGTCATGCGTGCATACATTTTTTGTGTATGGGTGGTCCCGGGGATCGAACCCACTACCTTGCCGTTACAAGCGCCATGCTCTACCAATTGAGCTACAGAGGACCACACTGTATCGCATGGTGCAAGAATGATTATGGCCACCTAATCACCCCCAGCTTCCAATTGGCTCATTCTTCCCCCCTCCTCTCCCCTGTAACTATTCCCCAGGTCATTTCGGTAAATGAGAATGTGTTCTCAGTCAACTTACCTGGTAAAATAAGGGTTAAATAAAAGTACAAGTAATACAGGTGTTAATAACACTATTAACTGAGTACTAACAATGTACATTCAAAGATGTACATCCAACCAAAAATGTTTCAGAAAAGAAATAACTAAATGTATTGTCAGGCTTATATCCAGATGAAAAATAGATCAATCCCAGCACAGAGAGTATACAATAGTGATGGGAAGTTCGGCTCTTTTTACTGACAATGATCTTTTCGACTCGTTCAGTCAAAATAACTAATCTTTCGACTCGTTTTATTTGAGTCAGTAATGCCCAGAGCACACAGGACCCCCTACTGGTGAACAATAAACTGACAACTCATGACCCTACGAGCCTCTTATTCACATAGGGGGGCTTATTGGAGCTGTCATTTGTGACTGAGACTTGTAAACGTCTGCTTTAAACAATGTACATTTGTTGATTGCTAGGCATACAAATAAGATAAAAAATGTAGACATTTTAAACGAAGTTGTGGCCGCAACCGGACTAGATTGTGAACGACTCATGGCAGAACGCATTGCTTGACTGCTGTGAGTGTGATAAGCAAAATGCCATTCGCAAACTGCAGCCCCCCAAACGATTTGCTCTCAAGTTGGAGTTTGTTGAGCAGAGGCTGTTTATGTTTTGGTTCTACAAAGCTGTGTCCATCATAACGTTCAATAATTAATTAACTGCTTTCATTCTTGCACCATGCGATCAATTATCAGTTCTAAACATGTCTTTTTCTTCTCTATGCTCATGATCTATTTTGCTGCGCAAATGACAGACAGTTGGTGGTCGTAGCACGTCTCTGGCGCCGCTGAGATGGAAGAGCGTGTATTAATCCAGCTGTAGGACTCATTGCGGCCAGCACTAGCAAGTCAAACAAAAGACAAAAATGAACGAGTCAACCTGTGTGTGTGTGTCTTTGTGTGTGTGTGTATAATACGAACACCCCTTCTGTACCTCTGACAATCAGCCTCATCCAGGCTCCATTGATGGGACTGTCTCCCACGAAGCCTGCACTGTAGATGCCTTCGTTGACATTACTCACGTCCTCCAGGGTTAGTACAGTCGTACTGTTGGACACATCACCCCAGTGGGTCATGTAGAAATAGTTTCCTGGTGATACAACACAGTATGAGTCAACACACAGGACAAACTCTCATTAACAATCAATGAATCAAACAATTGGCTATATTGCCATGTAATAGTCTCATTTAGATTAATCTAGTCCCTGCTCAGACAGAAATGCCTGCATTTCATCCCTCCCTCCCTCCCTCCCTCCCTCCCTCCCTCCCTCCCTCCCTCCCTCCCTCTATCCCATCCATCCATCCCTCCCTCCCTCTATCCCATCCCTCCCTCCCTCCCTCCCCCTCTATCCCATCCATCCATCTATCCCTCCCTCTGTAACTCACCATTGTACTTCCAGGTGACATCTCTCCTCTGGGAGCTGAGTACCTGCATGGCCAGGTGGACTGTGTCTCCTCTGTTAGTCGTCACTGTGAGGTGGGCCGGGACAAAAAGACCTGGGAGGAGCAATATAGAAGAATACATAAGTTCTCTCTTTCTCCCTCTCTCTCTCTCACACACTCTCATTCTTTCACTGAGAGCCTTTTCCTTACCTTTGCCATAGTTGTTGATGAGAGTGACTGTGACCAGGTTTCTAGTAGGACTAGTTCCCTGTGATGCATGACAGTAAAAGATGCCTGTCTGGTCCACTATACCCACAAACTCATTGGCCACCACCTCCTTGGTCTTGGGCCTCTTGACGCTGTATCGGGACGGTGAGGGGAGGATGAGAATGCTGTTGTCCTTCTTGATGTCCAGTTCTAGCTCTGCTGCATCCCGCTGCCCCGTGAGGCAGGATATGGAGAAGCGCTGAGGGGTGGAGGCCTCGGCGTTGGAGATCATCATCAGGTCTGTAACCGCACCTATAGGGACGAGATGGCGTCGCTCACCTGATACAGTCATCTACACTATTATGAGGTAAAACAACAAAGAGCAGCTACTGTAGTAATCTACTGATGTAAAATCAGTTTATCCATTCTAACCCAAACAAACATTACTAGACCTTAGGGCAGGGGTATTTAAATCTTACCCTACGAGGTCCGGGCTACTGCTGGTGTTCTGTTCTACCTGATTATTAATTAAAGGGTAAAATTGAGAAAAATAAAGTAGTGGAACTGGCTTCGAGGTCCAGATTTGAATTTGAGGGCCTGAGGGCATAATGCTACAACCTGGGGACATATTCCAGTTACATACTGACCTAGAATCAGTGTCCCCAACTTAAATCATTATGAGCCAAATAAGAAAATACATACATTTACGTCATTTAGCAGACGCTCTTATCCAGAGCGACTTACAGTTAGTGAGTGCATACATAATTTTTTATTTTTCATACCCCCATGGGAATCGAACCCACAACCCTGGCGTTGCAAACGCCATGCTCTACCAACTGAGCTACACCCCTGCCGGCCATTCCCTCCCCTACCCTGGACGACGCTGGGCCAATTGTGCGCCGCCCCATGGGTCTCCCGGTCACGGCCGGCTACGACAGAGCCTGGATTCGAACCAGGATCTCTAGTGGCACAGCTAGCACTGCGATGCAGTGCCTTAGACCACTGCGCCACTCGGGAGTTCATCATATATGGTGGCACAGAAATGTTGTTACATAAATCCAACAACATTCCTGTTCTGTGGCATTTGAGCCCTGATCCAACGAACAATAGAAGGAAACCGAGATGAGCTCCTGCTCTCTCAAGAGGCTGCATTCTGCATTTCCCTTTAACTTTTATAGTAGCCCATAACTTGTTGTGTCAAATAAATTCTGATTAGAGTTGCCTTGCATAGCCTACATTATAGCCTTCTTTCTGGGGCTTAAACATTCAGAGGAAATGATTACACAATCTAATAAGCACCTTGAGTAATGTAGCTTATACCCATTTCAGACAGAAGGTGTAGTATATTACCTGTAAATAATATAAGGCAATGTTTATATGACCCCCTTTCAAACAGCCTCTTATTTACCACCTTCTTGCATGTATACACACCCCTTTTATACATATCAGTGGGTAACTGGTAAATTAGGAGGGGAAGAGGGGTGGTGGATGTTGCTAAACCTTAGGGGCTGTTTGTATTTTAAACAGGGAGGTCTTAGCCTAGCGGTTAAGAGCGTTGGGCCAGTAACCGAAAGATCGCTGGTTCAAATCCCCGAGCCGACTAGGTGAAAAAACTGTTGATGTGCCCTTAACCCTAATTGCGCGTGTAAGTCGCTCCAGAGCGTCTGCTAAATGACTAAAATGTAAAAATGAAAGCCAGATAAATATAATAAAAAAACATCCCAAAGCTGTGGATTTTTGTCCATCCTCCACCAATTCAGAATATACTGTGTCATGGCATGCTTTGTGTAAGAGCTATCGAAGATTGAAATCCGGAATCGTATTATATATATTTTTGAAGGTGTGGATTGTTCTCCATCCACCCCTGATTCAGAATATACCATCTTCATAGTCATGGCATGCTTGGTTCAATTGCTATTGATGAGAGAAATCCGAATATCCACTGAATAACCAATATAAAACTAATTTTACCTTTGCCAAAAACAAGCAGGCATTGTAAATTTGTGTGATCTTTGACTGTGTATGAAATGAGTATTACTTTGTTTTTAGAATACAGTTTATTTAGGGTTTAAAATTGAATGGATCAGAATAAGCTGAATAAGCCCCCCCACTTACCTGACACAGGTATGAGGCACAACAAGTACAAGATATCAATCATATTTGTAATCCTCAAAACCGCAATTCCCAAATCAGCAGTGGTTTATCCAATCCAATTCTTCGGTAAAAAGAGACACTTCTACATTCCAAGCGGTGGTCCCCAGCGTGCCAAAGAACCGCGCGTGTCTTTGCGCATTGCCATCAATTCCAGTAATTGTTTTAACGGTAAAGTAATCCTTGCATTGATATCTCTGTCCCTATGAGTGTTCCATATCGTGTCACATTCTCCAGCTCCAATTTGAGCGTTCTGAATCTCTTGTCCTTACAATTGCATTACTCTGGGTGGGAGAGGATAAGAAGGAAGAGCGTCACGAGGGGAAATAGGTTGTTACTCTCCAAAAGCCTTGGTTCTGATTTCAGGAGTTGCAGAGTTGTGCATTAGTTTGTGGATTAGGCTACTTTCTACTTGTCATAGAATGTAAATTCGTTTTCCAATCAATTTCCTTATTTCCACCAAATGCGTTGTTAGCCAAGTCAATAATTCATGTAGGCCTAGAAAATTGCATTTTCAAAAATAATCCTGCAGCAAATGTCATCATTGTTTTATGTATTTGCACAGTTTTGACGATGCCCAAGAATGGTTGGTTTTAATGCATTTAGATGTGCATGTGTTTTATTTTATTTCCCTCAGATATATTCTACCGCTCTCTGCCCCAAGCTGGTCTCATAGACTAGACATAACATAGTAAACGAAAATCCGAGACACTCAAATTAGTATGATATGTTAGGTTTGGTATGGTTACATAAGACAAAACGTTACTTACGGAAAAACAATAGTAGGCTTGTTGGTTGGGGTGGATGGGTGGGCATATAACTAAAAAGTTGCCTGTTTCAATCCAGCCTGGTCTCATAGACTAGACGTAACATAGTAAATGTACATTCGGGACACTGAAATTAGTATGATATGTTACGTTTGGTATGGTTACATAAGACAAAAGGTTACTTAACGCAAAAATGAAAGTAAGGTGGTTGGTCGGGGTGGATGTATAACGCGAACCTCTAGTGACTCAAAGGTTGCGTGTTCGAATCACATCACGGGCAACTTTAGCATTTTAGCTTTCCCTAAATGCTGACACTGCATTTTACATGCTAGTAATAGTAGGCCTATGCATACTGAGTTTTCTCTAGCTGTTTTTAAACGTCACTGTCAGATCTATGTAATAATAGCAGATGGGTAATGTAATAGCTGTGTTCTTTCCCCCCAGTAAGTTAGTTGTGATCCCTGCAGCTGGTGGTCATTTGGCCTCTCCTTCACTGCTCCAACCAGTCTGAGGAAATGATTATGAACAGTCTGCTTGTTGAGTCTATGCTATTCTATCATTACAGCTGCAATCAGATGGATCAGGTCCCGTGTCTCACTTTTTAATATTAATTTAGAGAAGCTTTAAGTACCACTCACTTCTCTTATTTCTGGACGGGCGGGCTTTGAAATGGTTGATTTAATGTTTTCTTTACGTTTCCTGATGGCCTCAGACAAACGAAGTTGACTCAACATCTTATTGTTTGAAACTTCCTGTTTTCGATAAGAGAGTTCAAGATTTTCTTAAAATGGAGCGTATTTCTGAGGGATTTGAGGGTTGGTTCAGATAAATACAATTCTGATATAATCTACAACTCACTTGTTACGCCTGTCTTATGTGATTGCATTAAGCTGCTCAAAATAGGTGAGGACACAACCCTTCACCGTACCATTGAATAGCATAATCACACAATGGATAATACAAAATGACACAAAGACTTTGATGAGGTGTCCAGAGCAGGAGACTATTGTTATGTCTCCAGGTCAGAATGTTTCCATTTTGATACAGGCCTAACAGAGGGCACTTCCCAGTGTTGGCTCAGGTTTGTTGGGTCTCTGTGGTTCTATGACGGTGACCTCCCTGTCCCTGTTACTGTAAATAGACCATCACCTTGAGAGGGCCTTCCTATTTCCTCTACACAGGGTCACAAACACTCCACTCACAGGACCGACTCATCACACATGACAATGAGGACAGAGACTCATCTTATCAGTCACTCTGACTACACTTTCTCTCAGGGACATAACAATTCCACACTTCTTTTGTTTGCATCAGTGCTGAGTTTACACCACTTCTTCCCAGAATGAATGACAAATATTTAAACAACTTTTTCTCAGAAGGAAATTAATCAATCAGTTTCATAGCAGTTTTTTTTGGAGGAAATTGGTGCAAACTTTTCAGTTGTGCAAACGCTTTATTGTGTGCTCAAATACACTCTCTGTTCTCAAAGATGGATGGAAGGTAGAGCACCTGGACAGACAGACACGCAGGGAAAAACAGACATGTTGGTGGTTGCAGAGTGGACTCTGAGAGAGGAAGCCCACAGGGGAAAAGACTGGATGCTGTGTCAACATAGTTACTTTGGCTGCTGGGTGCAGCGAGGCTTCAAAAAGCCTGAGACAGGGTGTGTGTGTGCATGTGTGTTTGTGCGCATGTGTGCTTGCCTGCCCGCCAATGCATTTGTTTGTGCGTGCTTGTGTGTGTGTGTGTGTAGGTTGATATTGCAGGTTGGAGCTCAGGCCGTGGCACGATACTCCTCAGACATGGCCCATTGTCCAGAGAGCTCTTTGTTGTCCTGAGGTAACTATGAGCGGTGTTTGTTGATTATTGTGCTTGCTTTAGATGACACCGCCAGACAAACCGCCCGTCTCCCCTCGCTAGGGTCAAAACACAATACGTGTACCTCACACAAGGTCATCAGTGGGAGAGCAAACAATCAGAAGAGGTTTATGGTGTTTACATTGGATCACATCACATGATGATTGTTTTCTGTTATGTTTAATGTAAAGCGCAGTAGGATACGCTGACCACCGGCTTTCATTGTGTTGCATGTTGCACTGTAACTGTATTACAGTGTTATTGCTTGAAGATAATCTGAATTGAAAACACCAAACCTCAAAATCAAGCGGACAAATCTGGTCTGTGGGAAAATGTCAAACAGTAGAGGTGAATTTACAGCTGCACACTCCCCTCCGTGTTTTAGTACTTTTTGGACATTTTGTTGTGGTTTTAGTGGTGTCGTTGTTGGGTGTCGGATAGGGGCGGACTGGCCATCTGGCATTTCGGGCAACTGCCATATGGGCTGGTCCATTTTTAGCCTAGTGGTCATCACATTATTATTTTAATTTTATCTGGCTAATAATTGGGGCCTCAAGGAAAAAATAAATGGGCCGGTGTGGTTGCCTCAAGGAAAAAAATGCGCAGGTGTGTTAGAAATGCCAGGGCCGATTTCTGGTCCCAGTCCGTGCCTGGTGTGGAGTGGGGTGGAGGTGGTGGGT